TTGGAATATGTGACTGTCAGTTATTTTCAATAATATAAGTAGAAATATATCTATTAAATGAAAAATTATGGTCCAGACTCACTAGGATTTGTGTGAAGCTTGGGTGACTTGTGTGATTCACAATAGTAAATCCTCAGTTTAGCTTTGCTTGTTGCAAGGAGAAAAAATCTCTCCTATGATACAAAGGACTTATAAAAGTTAGATTTTACATGAATTGCAAATATTTTGGTCTATTTTGTTCACAGTGCACCCCCTCTTAGGCTTTTTAATACATGTTTGTTAAATTATTTAGCGGATACAGTATAATATTAACCTCTGTTTCTACTTAATAGATATTAAATTGAGACGTCTAGGACAGCATTATTAATTAGCTAGGGCTTCCCTAACAATGCCCACAGGCTGGATGATTTTTATTTTCTCACACTTCTGGAGGTTAGAAGTTTGCAATCAATATGCAGTAAGATTGGTTTCTTCTGAGGCCTCTCTCCTTAGCGTTCTCCCTAGACTTCACCAGATCTTTCCTCTGTGCATGTTCCAATCTGCAGCCTGCTCCTAGTAGAGTGGTATCAAGAAGACAAGAGAGGGGCCTCCCTGGTGGCACAAGGGGTTAAGCACATCGCTATGAAGATATCCACAGCCCCTGCAGCACAAGTTCAATCCCGGCCAGGGAGGTGACCCACATGTTGCAGCAGACCTCTCCTGCCTCGCCCAGTGCTCCCCTCAGCAGTGTTTTTCAGTCAGTCGGCCTGTTCTGCTCCCCACTCCGTCTCTGGTGAATCCTCTCACCCCCTACCTCTGGCCTGTATCCCGGTTATTGTATGCATAAATAAATAAATCTTAAAAAAAAAGATGACAAGAGATAAGTGTCAGGCAAGGTGTAGAGAAAATGGAGCTTCTTGTATCTAGAAATTGCATAGAATACTTACATGTAAAAGTTGGAAAGAAACTTAAAGATCACTGAATTTACAAAAGAGGAAACTAAGGCTCAGCCGGGTCACAGAATTTGCACAAGTTCTCTTCTAAAATGTGAGCAGTTCCAGGGTTGGAGACCAGTCTCTGGGACTCCTGACCAGGGTGCATCTCTCTCCTGCTGTCTTCCGGAATGATGTTCAGCAAGACATTTAAAGGACCTCACTTTGTATAGAGTCTTTAGCATTGTTTGACAGGATGCCACACTGCATAGAGATTTTGTTTCTCTTTTCTGGTTTTTCATCTTCTAACCTTCCAAGGTCATGTACCTGGAAGGGTCTAGGCTAGAGTCTGCAGGTAATAGCAGAGAAGAGTGAGGGTGTTGATTTCGTTGTTTACATTGCCTAACACCAAGAAATTTTGCTTTCCACAATTGACCACTGTCATCCACTAGTCTCAGAGAAACCCATCACTAAGTACTAAATGTCTATTTCCATGGCAACAGAACACTATAGAAAATAGGAAATGTGCACATCTAATGCATTTTGAGGCATTTAGCCCAACCATAAGTGTTTCCAAATAACAATGATGTTGCTAGTATTTTCTGGACAGTAAGTATGAGCAAAAGAGCTATTAGTTTATATTGAAAGGAGGAGCATTTGGCTAGATGAAAAATTAAAACTTAAAAAATTAGAGGACTTTGCCCTCTTTTTTTTCCTATTGCTCCTCTTTTCCACTGAGAATTCCTTTAGACAACATGGAATAGCAGAACTTGGGAAGTGAATGACTTGGTCGTTCCGTGAACCAGTAGGGGTGGGGTCTGGGGTTGGGGTGTACTATCATGAGAAACCCTTCAGTAAAGCCCTGTTTCATCTTTCATCTGTCCTGCCTCCTGATTCATTCTTTGAATCTAAGGGAAGTGAGTGGATTCTCCCCTTTTGTCATTTGGGTGGGTACTGTGTGTGTGTTTGTGAGGGGGGCGGTTCTCTTAAAATTGATCTTATTTAAATGTTTGAAACCTCGGAAGTTCAGAATGTCAATCAATATATGCATGCAGTGTATGCAACTAGTTACTTTCTCCCACCTTTTGTCGATGGAGGAGATTGCTATTTTGATATTTCATTGATTCCAAGGTGTGCATAGTTTGCCTATTATTACAGGCTTTGTTGTTATGTTTTCTTTTGTACAAGTATTTTAACTTTATCTCAGCAATATGGATTTCATTCCATCTCCAAGAGATATGGAAGCAAAATAAGCCAACTTATTCTTGGATTATGGTTTTATTGAAAAATAGTTTTACTAACAATTTTATATCCTTCCTAAAATAGGCAAGTGCACTCTGACACTTTCATGAATAATATGTACTTTGTATTCATGCTCTATACATTTACTCTCCATGTGCAGACTATGACACATGGGATTTGTTTTATATCATTGTAGTCATGAGTAATAAATTATTTTGTGGGTATTACTGACCCTTAATTTTTGCCCTGTCCAGAGATAAATTTTGGTTTCTAAATTTAATCATTATTAATTCAGTTGGTTAAATCAATAATTAAAACTTCTTTAAATAGCTTTTTAATCTCCATAATGTAGTTATCACTCATAATAATACTCTATCAAAGCAAATTTTTTCCATTGGACAATTAAAAAATACTGCAAGTAACTAGAATTGTATTAAATTTGGTTTCCGCTCTAAAATTTCAATTCTAACTGGTCGAACAAAACATTATAGATTAATTGAAAACATATTAGTGCTTAGATTTTATCCACAGGGGCTGTATCCACAGAACCTCGATCCTTTTCTAATTTACAAAGACGCTTCTACTTTTTAGGTCATGTGCCCACAAGATAGCCCAGAAAAGGAATCTTTTTCAAGTTAACACTGTTAAGATATATGAACCAGTAATGACTTGTTACTGAGGAAGTTTTCATGGATGAATTGAGTTTAAAGAAAGGCTATTATCATTGGCAAACATTTATTATGTGCATCACTGGAGGGAGAGCTGTGCATGTGGAGAAAGGAGAGCAGCATTTAGTGTGCGTCCAAATACAAGGTCTGAAATGAATACGACATGCGCAGTAGTTAGCGAAAAAATGAGATTGAGTGGAACAAAATGTACATGTCTTTGATGAGTAGAGGATTAGATGAGTAAGGTGAGCCAAGGTCAGACTGTGAGGATCCTGAGCCCAGGGTATGGAATTTGAATTTTTGTCCTCTAGATGAGTATTCCTGGCATTTATCCTAATTCATCGCATGATCAGTGATTTATTTTAGGTAGATTAACCCAGGGTTATGAGACTTAGAATAAAAAGAATAAGGGAAAGTCTGTAGGGAATAGAAAAAAGTTAGAGGTAGCTGTGCTGGACTTTCAGTATCTCAACCAAGTAATGAGAGTGAAAAGAAAGAGCTGATATGATAGTGTTTTTATAGCCAGTGCTATGATTTTTACCTGACCTTCAAAAGGAATTCATATTTATTATAGAAAATATTAAAAATATGGATGTTTGTTAAGAAAAAACATTAAAATCACTCTTATTTAAAGCAGAAATAAATGTTATCGACATTGTATGCACTTTGTTTTTTTGTTTGTTTGTTTACTTTGTCTGCTGAAGTCATGGTATATTAATGCTATATTTGCATAACTTGGTTTTCTTTTAGTTATTATTAGATTGTAGACCATTTCTTTTGTTAATAAAATTCCCAGAAGGCCTCACTTTTAATGACTATACACGACTGCATTTTATGAGTACAGTTTAATTTAGATTTGATATAATGAATAGCAGTCAACATATATGTATTATTTAGTAACACCTCCTCTCTCCCTCCACAAAAAAAAAAATTAATAATAAAAAAATAAGTTAAACATTTATTCATATATTTTTCCCATTTGGATTTCAGCCCTGACTCTCTACCCTTAGTCCAATTTAAAAATTGGGGGGAAGAGGAGATTCTCAATGAAATTTTATTGAAATCTTTGTCTCATTTTGCTGATTGCCACTTAAAATGGTGATGCTTAAGTCATTCCTCTATACCCAGGCATTTCGGTTGTTTGCAATTTTTATTTCAATTAATGTTGCAATTAATATTTCACATATTTCCATGTGCACAAGTCAAAGGTTATAAACCTCTAAGTAAATTGCAGGAACATAGGTTGTATCCATCTTCAACTCTAGTTTCCCATGTACATCTGTTCCATCAAGCAGCATGATTGTACGAGATACACTCACTTCTCAGGCACAGCAGAGAAATTCCAATTTACTCACATCCTTGGCAAGCCTTTCTTTTAAATGCCTGCCAATGTCATGTGTGTAAAATAGAATCTTTTTTTTTGGTATGTGAAAAATAATATCTCAATTTATCTTGCTTTTCTCTGGTAATTAAAGAAACCTAGCATGTTTTTATGTCTGTTGGCATTCAAGCTTCCTGTCTGGAATTGCCTGGTTCCTACTGAGTTGTTTGTCTTTATGTGTTTACTCTGGATACTAATCTTGTGACAGTCAGTGAATTTGCCAAGATGTTTTTCCAGTGTTTTTGTCTTTTACTCCTATTTAAAAAAAAAAAAAAGTAGGCAAATTTATCAGACTTATCTTTTATGTTTTGGGTGTTTTCTGTCTTGATTAACCTGATCTCTAATGTCAAAGACTTTTCACCTGTATTTTGTTTTAAATCTCTAAGGACCAATTATTTTATAGTAAATGTATAATTCATCTCATTTTGCATATCTATCAAGTGAGTTACCATATTTAAGCAAATGAAAAGTGGAAAACAAGAAAAACTTGGTAAACTTTTATAGTTTCCACTGCAAATCTATAATTGAACCATAGAGACTTTTTTTCTTTTTTAAGAAACAGATATCCACATTCACTAGTTATCACATTGTGGAAATGAAAATTTATATTTTTCTCATTGACTGCATAGGAGTTTGTGCTTATCTGCACAAAATCTTGGCAAAGTAATGACTTGTGTTGAATAAAAATCTGTTTCTCATGTGATTTTACCCTCAGTCTACCTAACTTCATACATATAAGTCCAGAATGAATACATTGTCATATATTAACAGTTAACCTAGGATTTGTTTTACTTTCAGCAATTCACAGAAGCTGTGAGTCCATCAGTGCTACCCCCATCAGCTTTGCCCCTCGACCTGCTTAATAACGCTGTCACTGCCTTCAGTACATTGGAAGATCTTATTCGATATCTTGAACCAGATCGATGGCAGTTGGACTTGGAAGATCTGTATAGGCCAACTTGGCAACTTCTTGGCAAGGCTTTTGTTTTTGGAAAAAAATCCAGAGGTAAATTCTCTCTTCAGATTAGAACCTCATCTAATTTTCTTAGAAGCTGGAATGTTTCCCATTTCTCTGCTATATCTTTTAATTTTCATAACATTGAGCATATTAACATAGTAAATGAGAATGCATTATAACTCAGTGGATTTGAAAAATTAAAAGGGATACTGTAACAGAGACATCTATCAATATATTACAAGGGGAGGTACCATTTTCTCTGCCCCACTCAACTGTGGGTGGAGCTGAGCAAGCAGGTGAAGCTTCTAAAATAAAAGCTTTTGACCATATGAGCATATCCCCTGTAAAGAGTCAAAGGGTTGACAATTAAACTTAATTCCACATGGTCAAGAAATTGAAAATGCTGTTAACCAAGTTGACTCTAAGGTTAGCGCATGTTCTTGGTTAACGTTGGAATTGCAAAGCATCTATTTCAGGCACAAATGAAAATGTAATGGAAATAATTGGATAATTATAATACACTCAAAATTCTGTTTCAGTCTGTCAGAAACATTGAAATCTACCCAAGGTCACTTTAAAGAATGGAATGACAGTCTAGAGAATTGATATAGAAAGAACATTATTTAATTTGAGTGATTCACTGGGGCAGTTTACACAAGACTTGTTCTAAATCATGTCAGAAAGAAACCTGATTCCTACCCTTTCCTGGTAAGAGGTTCAGCCTTTTGGATCTGGAGCTTTAATCTCTGCAGGTCATGTTCAGACTTGCCAACCATGGTATTTTGCTATGCCAGCAGACATGGTTTCCTTTCAGCGATCTTTAAAACCTGTGTTCAAGAACATGGGCAGCTAAATCTTGTGCAGATGCTGAAAGCTGTTACATAGTTTTAAATCTGATCTTGGTGAATAATTGAGAAACACCCCCTCCCCAGCCCCCTCACTTAAGAACAGGAAAATGAAGACCCAGGAATATCTGAAAGAGCCAGGAATAGAACCTTTGTTGCAAATTTTAAGTTTTTATCATGTTGATCTGTAAGAAGTAGTGCAAATTTTAAACTCAATTCTAGTTTTTTGACAGCTGACTTTAGGATTCCAGCCTGAAAATTTCCCTTCCAGCCATGCCTTTAGCCACCAGGTGCTCCAGGAAGATTTGGCCTGCAGCTAGTGTACATTTAAAAGCATCCAGCACTGAACCAGATCTTTCAAATATTCATTTAGCACTTTCCAAATTGAAACCTTTTGCAGTTTGCCAAAACTATTAACTTTTTGTGCAGACAGTAAGTGTGAGAAAAGCAGTGTATATTTTTGGAACTTTACATAAACTAAAATGCAGGTGTGGGATAACATCTATATAGACAAAACCAACTCCCTTCCCAGGAGTCTTTCTACAAAGAAACGGGGAGTAAGACGTTTAAAAGCTTCTAATTAGACATCAAAATAGATTTTCCACAGAATAAACATATCTCAGTGTTACCACATTCATCTTTGAAAGACCACCCTCAGATAGCATTACAGTAATAGAATATCCCTGGGCTGAATATCTTAAAAGAATGAACAACCAACAAAGTAAAATGTGAGCACACTTTTTTTTTCAGTTAGTAACGTCCTTTTAAGTAAAATGTTAATACTGATGAATCTGAGCAAGAAAATGTGCATGGAAATAATAACATGCTCAGATCTTTCTTCTTTTGAGAGACTAATTAGTGCATGTATTGTCTTAGAGGATAGTTCTGAAAAGAGAAAAAAAAGAATGTGAAGCCTGTATTTTACTGTACAATAGTTTGCACTGAGAAAGTTTCATGGGAGTATTATTAAGTTCTAAAAGATTATGTGTCCGGGCATGCGCTCACACTCCTGCATGTTTTCTCTCTCAGTCTCTCTTTCTCTGTTTCTGTCTCTGTCTCTCTGTCATTTTGCCTTAAGTTCTGCAGTGTTTGGAAAAATAGTGTCACCAGATATAGTTACGTGACTTATTCTAATTAGTTTTTGTGAGTTTGAATCCTGAGATATAGTGCCTAAATTTCAAATAAGATCGTCCAAATCTAAAAGCCTTCATTATTTTTGTAGGTGAGTGTAGACCTCAATAATGTTTCTGTTTCCTTATTTTCCCTCTCTTCCTCCCTTTCAGGATTTTCATTCATACCTGCTACTGCAGAAGAAAAATACCATGTTTTCTAAGCCAGGCTTAACTAGTACTTAGAAAGGGCTTTTGACTTTTGTGTCAAACATGATAAACGAGTGGAAGCTCAGTTGAAAGTGTGTTTAAATTTTTGCATTAGAGCAGGTATCATAACTTAGTTCACTTGGGAAATCTATCTAACCTTTTATTGTGGTTAAGTAAACATTTTAAAGTGAACATATACAGTCTCATTTTCTAGTTTCATGAAATAGCGTGTTTAAAAGTATTTGAGGTAGATGAATATCCTTTGAAAGCTAAGAGCTTTATTCACATTCTAAAGAAGTATAAATCTCAAATGAGCAAAATTTAGACAACTGGCTTTTGTGTGTGTGCGTGTTTTAAGTTTTCTCCCTTCTTGCCAGATATTAACTTCAAGAAAAAAGATTAAATACATTCATGTTTAACTTTAACAAAGAAGGAGCAATATGCATATATACTGTTAGCTCAGCAAAATGATATCAGGTAAAATATGTGACACCATTTACCCTAATTATCTCATTAATTTTGGTTGAGATAAATTGGTCTTTCATATCACTTAAAAGAATGAACTCATTTCATTTTAAATATTTAAAAGCTTTTCTTTCTCAGGATCATTTTTCAGATGAAGAGGAAATCTTAAAAGACTCAAAAATAATGATTTTCTATTGAGTTGGAAAAAAAAAAATTTTAACCAAGATAATGATATGAAGCGAATGAATTAGCATTTCCTTTTTTCTTCCTTATATTTGAACAAGGTTTGGCAACCCTGCAGCTTACTGTTTACAGTTCCATGTGTATAACTTTACTATAGTTATTGAATATATATAAATTGGCTTCCTTTAAAATTTTAGAAAAATTTGATCTCATATACAAGTATAACATAGTCAAGAAAATAAGTGCTTTATTCTTAATTACTTTATCATGTACAAAGTATTAAAAAATTGACCTATCATATTTAAAAATTACATAGCAATTATTAACATTTGAAGCATTTTTAACTGGACAATGTTTTCTTTCACTTCATACATCAATATGTTCCAAGCAACATTAGTGAAAAGCTGTTTAACCAAATTTGTTATATTTTAGTTAATGTCAACATTTTAATACAACTTTTATTTTGAAGAAAAATCAGCTCTGTTTGGGTATGCTATCCAAAATGCTTATATTTTCTTGGAGTTGCTTTTATTTGGATAGTTCTTGGGAGAAAAAGCAGTTATAAAGCAGAAATAAAAATTATACTACAGATGTTTGTCACAATAATAATTAACTACTACTCCTATGTTATGTGTAAATTTATATTAAACATGACCTATTATTTTGATATAATTTTTTTCGAGGTAGTATCATGTTGTAGTTAAAAACAATAGTTCTTTGAGAATTTACTGCAACAATCTGATGAAAAGATATTTTGTTTGGTCTTCACAAGTAGGTATTCTTTTAAAGAATAAAGCACAGCATAGTTAAACAGCTTGTTAAAGAACAAAGACAATGGTCATCAACTACACATTTCTTCCATCCTTCAGAAGGGGCAGAACAGGAATCCAAAGGAGTCTAGTTATCTAAATTTCAAAAGACCATAAATTACTTAATGCACCAAGACTTTGCTTTCTAGCACCTCCTCCTGCTTTTATAAAATATATCATTTTTTTTACCCATGGTCCACTCAACTGTTTCCAAAAATCCATTCATCCTTTTTTATAGTTTTTGATTCTTACTGCCAGTAAGATCATACAGCATTTCTGGAAGTCATTCTTCATCCGCTGCATGAGTTTGTCATCTTTTTAGAAATTGCATTTATTTTTTTAATAAAAACATTCATCATTTATATTCTATTCTTCTTCTCTCCAATGCTCTCCTTGTTTGCTTTTTTACCAAGGTTAAAAGGTGTAGCCCTCTTCTTTCTCTGTAAAGTTTCCTATTTATAGCTCTCAACTGTTTTGTTGGCACTGTTCTTCATGTTACACAATGGCATCCCTTTATTGGTCACTAAGTCATAATGAAGCTTTGTTTACTATAAAATGGAAAGTCTTAACTTGCGAACAGCATAGCCCGAAACCTAGTTAAAATAAGAAAGGAAGTTAGGGGTCTGTTCATGAAATAGCTAGATTTCTTCATGAAAAAGAGTGTCATGAAACACATTCGGGCTCAAAGCATGAATGAACATGTATTTTTCTTTGCTTTCTTTTTGCCCTGCAGTGGTGGATCTGAACCTTCTAAAAGAGGAGGTGAAGTTGTACAGCTGTACACCTCGTAACTTCTCTGTGTCCATAAGGGAAGAACTAAAGAGAACTGACACAATTTTCTGGCCAGGCTGTCTCCTGGTTAAACGCTGTGGTGGAAACTGTGCCTGCTGTCTCCATAATTGCAATGAATGTCAATGTGTTCCAAGTAAAGTTACTAAAAAATATCATGAGGTAGGTAGAGCATTTTATTTTGGGGTTCCTTTGGGTATATTATGTCTTAAAAATAACAAAAGAATAGATCAGAAAATATTATTTTTAACAAAGGCAATGTAGCAGTCATGAAAAAAAAGCAAGGTTTACAAAATAATTTATGTTTTCATATTCTTTAATTAGGATTATTAACTGACAAACTCAGACAGTTAAGGATCTACAAAGCTCTTCCTCCCAGTAGTCAATGAAGTTTTTGTCATATTAAAAAGAAAAATGTTCTAATGGGAAAAAAAAATCAGTGAAACTTAGCAATTTTTCAAAATATGAAGGAAAATATTTTAAAGAGAAACTTGGAGAAAAATAACGGTCTATGTTGGAGAAAGGAGATCCTCGATACTTATTTTTCATAAGGGGACATAAATCCCAAGAAGACATGTTCATGGTGATATTAATCTTCCTATTAGTCAATTACTTCAAAGAGATTAAACCTCTTATGGATTCTTCACCCTTTATGTCTTCATTCTGTGGAATTAATGTTGGACTCTCCCCAATTTTATGGCAACCTCAGCATCATGTGGCATTCATATCTCAGGAAGCTGTCCCTCGTGTGTCTTTATGAGTCACTTTTAATTGTTATAAAACATTTGCATTAGTCCAAGCAAAAATTTGTCTTTCTGACCTTATTTCAATATGACTTCATTACTTTTTATTTTTCCAATAAGAGAATCAAGCAGAATAAATATCTACTTAATAAAAAAATACAATTTTTTCCTGTGAATAAAGACATTCATGTGAGGTAATATAAATATGCACTTTCATAAATTGTAATGCATATGACATGGTTGTCCTGCCTGAGGAAGGAAGGATTTAGGATTGTAGCATGGCATGATTAACTGTTAGGACTATATATGGTAACATCCATAAACTCTACCTTTCATAGTAATTTCCCCTGTTAACTTGGAAAATATGTACAAGTAGAAATTAGAATTGGAAGCATTGGCTATGCCATTATTACAGTTTATGTCATTCCAAAATTGATTCCCAAAATGATTTATAACAAAAGTATGATAAGGAATATACCAGTATCTTCAGCATTAGTTTTGATGCCACCTTAACTTGCTCAAAACTACTATCAATTCTGACACATAAAATAATATTCAATAGACATGAGGTTAAGTTTCACATTAGAGCTATAATTTTTATCTTAGAATTGTGAAATGTAATGTGCTTTAAAAGTTTACCATTTCTCATAGATTTTAAAAGACTTTGCAGTTTCTCTCTATAGTAAGAAAGTTACTAAAGAAGAATGAATTAATGGTAATATGATGAGTCTTTCCACAATAATTTCCCAATCTGACTTTAATAATTCACATTTGGCAGCAGGATGAATAGAGACTATGTCACTTTTCTCTTTAAGCATTTGTTCACTCATGTGTAAAATAGGGGCGATAGTTGTAAATTACTTCATAGAATTCTTGTGAGTTAAAGTATGTAAAAACATTATTATAGTGCCTGGCACCCTATAAGCATTCAAAAAAATTTTAGCTAATTAACCTTTGATATGACCACATACTCCAAAGGAGGTACAATCATTCTTGATTTTCTTTTTTTAAATTTTTAAGTACAACAGTCATAAGACTTAACTTATGCCTTTGTGGATTAATAATTTCCAGGAATGGTATCTTTTAGTAATTGCTCTATGAATCTATCTGTGTCATAACCAAAGAACAGAGAAGCTAGACAACTCGCTAGCATTATGTGCTCTGTCCTTTGTTCCTAATTCAAAAAAACTTTCTGAAACTTTATCATTTCTCTTACAAGAATTATAAGTTCTTATCAAATATTTCAAATATTATGGAATACATAGCTCGGTCCTTTTGTCACAACTTTAAAAGGAGATGTGCTTAGTGTCACTGTCCATTTTGCTATGTTTTTATTAAAAATCTCAAATATCCAAACTACAAATATCACTGTGTCAAGAAGGTATTGTGGTTAGTATTGCCATGCTTCCACAGACTACACAGTAGGATGCAGCTGCAGAAAGTTAGCTGTGACGGAGGCTGAAGTCTATGAAGTACATCTAATCCAGCTCATCAAGTTTATAGAGGACTTGAAGAGTAGCCAAGAAAATTAATGAGTGGCATAATTGAGCAAACTCAGCTGTAGAGTGATCGTGTTTCTTTTCCCGGTATTGCCGTACTCACATGCATTGCTTCAAGTATAAATATTTGTCCAATATGTGAATAAATGAATGAGTGAAAGAAACCAACAGCCAACAGAAAAAAGAATTGTATAGTAGTTGGTTCCACGGTGAAATGTTCTCTGGTGTTGTCAGATGAGTAAACAGATTACATACCCTTTCCCTGAAGGATTGTTATGTTTTCTGAAGCAGCATCCTTCAAATTGTTGGAAATAAGTAGCCCTGTCTTTCATGAAATAATGCTGATCACTTATGATATTTTTGAGGGGTGGAAGATGTGCTCAGGTATCTTCACAAGGAAAACAACCAAAATTCTTGTCTATGAAATTGACATTGGTGGATTTTAAAGGTGGTTTACATTGTTCCCTTTTAGGTCCTTCAGTTGAGACCAAAGATTGGTGTCAGGGGATTGCATAAATCTCTCACCGATGTGGCCCTGGAGCACCATGAGGAGTGTGACTGTGTGTGCAGAGGGAGCACGGGAGGATAACCGCATCTGTGGCAGCCATTGCCCAGAGCCGCCAGCTCAGTGGCTGATTCTGTTCTAGAACTTACGCATTTTCTCCATCCATAATCTCAGTTGTTTGCTTCAGGGACTTTTCATCTTCAGGATTTACAGCATGTTCTAAAAGAAGAGACACAAGCGGAATCAGGAGTTGTGCAACAGCTCTTTTGAGAAGAGGCCCAAAGGACAGGAGAAAAAGTCTTCCATCGTGGAAAAAAAAAGATTAAATGTTGTAGATCACTAGCTAGTAACAGAGACACCGTGTCCTTACTCAGCTAGCTCTGCTCCATATTTCAGTTATCTCAAGATGGCTTAGGGTCGTGTAAGTAAAGGAAAAAACTGTGCAAATGGGCACCTGATTCTTTTCTCTTGCTTAACTCTAAAGCTCCATGTGCTGGGCCTAAAATCACAGAAATCTGGAATTTTTTCCCCTTATATTCACATACATAAACCAGAGCATTCTATGTTCTACAATCATGGTTTTTAAAAAGGAACTGTGTTGCTATGAATTAAATTTATGTCATGCTGAAAGAAAGACTGGATTTTCCATATTTCTTAATTAAAATTTCTACCATTTAGAAGAAGAGAACTACATTCATGGTTTGGAAGAGACAAACCTGAAAAAGAAGAGTGGCCTTATCTTCACTTTATCTACAAGTTGGTTTATTTGTTTTATTGTGTACATTTTTATATTCTCCTTTTGACATTATAACTGTTTGCTTTTCTAATCTTGTTAAATATATCTATTTTTACCAAAGGTATTTAATATGCTTTTTTATGACAACCTAGATCAACTATTTTTAGCTTGTTAAATTTTTCTAAACAAATTGTTATAGCCAGAGGAACAAAGATGATATAAAATATTGTTGCTCTGACAAAAATACATGTATTTCATCCTCGTATGGTGCTAGAGCTTAGAGAAATCTGCATTTCAAAATATTGAAAGGGAAGTTAATTGAATTTGGTAAGTTGCAAAGACATTTTGAAAAATAAATATGTCTTCCACCTCTATTATTGGAGATGCAAATTAAAGCTATGAAATTAGACATTCAGATGCCGGCATTACTAGTCCCCAACCTTTCTTTTGGGAAATATGAGCCTAGCTCAGAAGAACATAAATCTCCTTGAAATAAGAAACTTGGCAGTTTCCTGAGAAACATGTTCCGCTGTCCTGTAGGTACACATCCTATTTATTGTGATGTTCTGGTTTTATCTTTAAACTCTGTTCCATACATGTGTATAAATACATGGATATTTTTATGTACAGAAGTATATCCTTTAACCAATTCACTTATTGTACTCTTTGGCAATTGAAAAGAAAATCAGTAAAATACTTTGCTTGTAAAACGCTTAATATTGTGCCTAGGTTATGTGGTGACTATTTGAATTTAAAATGTATTGAATCACCAAATAAAAGAATGCAGCTATTTTGGAGAGAAATTGTGTGTGTGCGTGTGTGTGTATGTGTGTGTGTATAAGTGTGTTTTTGTGTGGAAGATTTCTCTCTTGAATTTCAAGAAAATTAAAGTGGTAAAGTTTCGTGTTACTTTGATTTTCAGTATGCAATAGCCTGTCTAAGTCAATTCAAAAGACCCGTCAATTGAACATTTCTGATGAGACTTTCCTGCTTTTACTGCAATGCTTTTGAACCATAGTTTTCTTTTTCTCACTGGCCTTGTTACTGATTTCTGTCTGATTAAATTGCAACTGACTTGAAAGTAGTATGTGTTTTATGAAATGCTTATTAATAAATTACATGGGGAAAAAAACACAAGCCTTTACCTTTCCATTCATGCTTTTCAGTTTCAATGACAATTCTAAGGCAGTGAGCATAAACTGATTTGGCAGTTGAAAAACAGATCCTCATCTTCAGACAGAGATCTCTGTCCAGAGGTGGTATCTCAGCACCACTATTCCTTTTCAACTTGTGGGAGAGTTCTAGACCCAGAAACTGTGTTGTCTGCAGACTCCTCCTTGGCGGTCCTTTTTGGGGTAGTTGTTGATCTGGAAATCCTACCCTATGCCAAACCATGTGAAAAAAAATATTAAATGAACATACATGTTCTATTTTATTGACCGACCTTTTCATACTTTTATCCCGGCCTTTAGAGTCCACTGTTTAATTCTGTGCTGCACTGGAAATGCTCTTTGGAGTGTGTCCTTTAGCAACTTCTCGTTAGCACAGTAAACACGCTACTGAATCTTAGGGTGACTGACCTCCATGAAGGTACTTATAACCGTCCTTATAACTTATACTCCAGTACTTATAACCGTTAAATGGAATACCTTCTTTCCCTTTTATCTTTATAGAAAGTAATTGTTTCACTTTACGTGTTGGCAGGTGTCACAATATTACCAGATTGAACTGATTAAAACCCAAAGTACCCTGCTTCTGCCTACTAACTCCTTCATTTTACAGATTGGGAATTTCAACTTCAGAAATAATTTAGAAACTCTATGGTTCCTGATGTCACATTCCATGCTGAATTTTTAAAGACATAACTTACCCATTTGTTCATTTGGAATTTAATGACAAATCAAAATAATAATAGGTAATTATAATACAATATGACAACACTTAACATTGAAATATTCCTGGGAGCTGAGGAGAAATAATTTCCTTTATGGCACCTAAGGAAAGGGACTAAGAGACTATGGAACTAATGAAGAAAAGCTCCATGAGAAGTGGCACTGCAGCTGAGAGGAAGTTACTGATACAGGTAAGCATAGCAGCAGGAACAGTGCTCCAAAAAGAACACAACATATGCCAGCACAGAGATGTGAAGTAATATTGGTATTTTCAGGAAACAGTAAGTACTCACCAGAGCTGTATAATAGGCTTGATGGTGCAATATGAGCAGAAATAATGGGATTATATTGGATTTAAAATGCTATGCAAAAAATTATAATAAATATCCTTTGTAAAAATCCCATCTGAGTGACATGATCAGATTTGTCTAAAAGGTTCTTCTGATACTATATAGAAGCTGGATCGGAGGGGAGTGAGAGTAGAAGCAGGGCAGGAAAGCCAGAAAGAGGGGTGAGACATGAGGATCTTGGATCTGCAGCCACAGAGATAGGGAGGTAGACACATAGCAAGAGAGACTGAAAAGGCAAAGTTGATGGACTTGCCAATTTAAACCATTTAAAGTGTGAAGGTAAAGTAGAATGTCAAGCAAATGAATAGTTGTCCTACTCCTTCCTATGGATGTTAGGATATGATATTTATAATTTTGAATGCATTTATGGTAAGTACAATATCAAAATCTTGAAGGTAAGTATATAAAGTATATTATATATAAAATGTATTATGGCATTAAGTATATTATTTTACAATAAGTGATATCAAATATGCTTTGGATTTTTGTCACTCCTCAAACCCAATTGCAGGCATAAGTAAATGCATCTGGAGTGGAAGAGCAAATGGAGGATAAGGAACTCATGGAGGATGTTTTCATGGTACAGCTACTCATTTCTTTGTTACTTGCACCTTTTCAAAGTACATAGACAAATTATTAGATGAGGAAGGAAATAAGATGTAGGAGTGAATAATATAGACATGAAAGCATGCCTCATGTGGATTCAGACTTGCACTTTTATAAAAAATAACTAAGCAAATGATCTTTCAGGAACAAAGACCCTTATCACAGAAATCAAAGAAAACAATTTGTGGTCAATATAGTCAATGTTTCTAGAATTCTGAGAAATGATGACCACACTTGCCATTAATGGATTGAATTTTTAAATTTTTTTTTCCAGTAAAATGCACAGGGAAATCTATGAGTGAGAAGAATAAAGCACTTAGGTGTTACTTGCTTTCCATTCACTAACTAGCAATAGCATGCAGGATTCCTACCTTATAGAGGAATTTATTTGGCCTTCAGCATTCTTAACTAAACAAAAAAATTAATGTTAAAAATTTTTATCAATACACTTTAACAGTGCTTTGAAACTATGTTTCCTATCAAACCTATTCAACTGCCATTTCTTTGCAACATTAAGAGATTTATTTATTCATTTATGTATTATGGATTCTTATTCTATAGTATGATTAATTTTTTAAGTCAGAATTTAAAAGTCTTTAAAATTTGGACATATATAGGAAAACGATGATTCATAGTCTCCTCATTTACTGCTTTTGCATCACCAAACCTGAATACTCAGTTTCCTGAAAACACCAGTATTCCCAGAAATCGCTGCACTAGGACATGCAGTAATTTTTTGGTAATACTGTTCCTGCAATTATCTATTTCAGTAACTTCCACTACATCTATTAAAATGTTAATTACATTCTTTTGTACTCTGCCTCAAAGAGCACGTGCACAGCCACCTACACCAAGTCCAATTCATTTCATAAGCTAAGCCATTACAAAAAAATTCATGTTACTGTATAAATCCATATAAAATGGAAGAATGATAATTAGTATTTTGGTAGGAAATACAACAAGATTAATAACTATCATTTTAAAAATTATATATACAATATCGGCTGGCTTTTTTTTTTTTTTTACAGAAATTGGAAATCTGAATCTAAAATTTGCATGGAAATTCAAGGGTCCCCAAATAGCAAAAAAATCTCAAAGACAAACTACAGAGTTGGAGAACTCACAGTTATGATTTTAAAACATGCAACAAAGCTATAGATACAGTGTGGGAAGACTTAATAAGCTTAAACATACCAAAAAATGGAATAGAATTGAGACTCTAGAAATAAACCCTTATATTGATGGTTTACTGATTTTGGAAAAGGTGCAACAATTCAATGATGAAGACTATTTTCACCAAATGGTGCTAAGACAACTGGATATCAACATGAAAAAAAATGAATTTGGATCTTTATTTCATACCACCAAGAAAAATTAACTCAAATGAATGACCTAAATGCAAGAGATAAAGCTATAATATTCTTACAAAGAAATATCAGAGGAGGGGCCTCCCCGGTGGCGCAGCGGTTGAGCGCCGGGTTGCGAAGCTGCCCGCAGCCTCGGTAGCGCCGGTTCGATCCCCAGCTGCTCCCCGGCCACCTGAGGAGGGTCCCACATGGCGCGCAGACCTCTCCTGCCGCCCGCTGCTCCCCTCAGCAGTGTCCTTCGGTCCTTCTGCCTGCTCTGCTCCCCGCTCTGGCTCTGGTGAATTCTCTCACCCTCCCGCGCTTCTGACTGTACCCAGTGCTTGTATAAATAATAAATAAATAAATAAATCTTTATAAAAAAAAAAAAAGAAATATCAGAGGAAATTCTTAGTCCATGCTCAGATATGATGATACCAAAAGCACAAGTAACAAAAGAAAATGAAGTGGACAACATCAAAATTAAAAATTTTATTACTCAAAAGACACCATGAAATAAAAAAATAACCCACATAATGTGAGAAAATAATTACAAATCACATATATGATGAGGATCTTGTATGAACAATATGTAAGCAACTCTTACAACTCAACAATAATCAACTCAATTAGAAATGATGATTAAGCACATTAAATGATAACCAACACTGGAAGTCATTAGGGAAATGCAAAATAATATCACAATGAGTTACTACTTGACACCCACTGGACTAGAATAGCTAGAATCAAAAAGACAAAATATTAACAAATGTTGGTGATGATGTAGAGAAACAAATCCTTAAATGTTGCTGGCAGGGGATTGTAAATATGATCATTGTGGAAATCAGTTATGCAGTTCTTCAAAATATTAAATAGTTAACACATGGATCACTAATTTTACTCCTAAGTATGTATTCAAAAGAACTGGAAATCCTGTACATCAGAGTTCATGGCAAAATCTTCATAACAGACAAAAAATAGAAATCACTCAAATGTCCAACGATAAATGGATAAACAAAAGGTGTTATATTAGTATTAGGGAATATTAATCAATAAAAGGGAATGAAGTACTGATATTCACTATAGCATGAATGAAATATGAATACATGAGAGGTAGTAGTCATTCACAACTGGCCATATATATTTAACTTTGTCTATGTGAAATGTTCAGTATAGGTTAATCCATAGAGGAAGAAAGTATATTAGTGTTTACCAAGTACTGGGGGAAGAGCCTAAATGGGCAATGACTATTAATGGGTACAGTAGAGTGATGAAAATAATCTAGAATTATTAATATTTGTGTGACTATACTAAAAAAATACTAAATTACACACCTAAAATGGGATATTTTGGTATTTGAATTTATCTTGATAAAACTTGAAATATTTATAGGTGTGTGTATAATTCAGTATTTAAGAAATAAAACCCCATTGCCTCCCCCCCAAAAAACCCCACAAAGAATAAAAATCTAGAGCACATGATTTCCATTTGCTGTCTATGCAGATAGGTATAAGAGAGATGAATGGGCAGTGTTATAGATGGAACTATTTGTTTCAGTTTTGTCGTATGTAGTAATATTTGACATTTACATCTTTGTCGTTGCTACGTGGTAAT